CTAATACCCCCAAAAGTATACCCAGGTGGGGGTGGGAAAAGGTTTAAATGGGATGGGAGAAGTAGGAGGGGGAAGAGGGATTGGACAAAAAAAAATTTACCAAAAAAAAAAAAAAAAAAAGAAAAAAGAAAAAAAAAAGAAAAAGAAAAAAGAAAAAGAAAAAAAAAAAGTTGGTGTTACCATCTGGTGGGCTACTCGGCCTGTGTGAAATGAGGTGGGGGGGTCAGTCCAGGTCCCCGTGGACAGGTGTTGTCCACAGCACAAAAATCACCAGCGCCACTGGCCCCCCGTGTGTTGGCAGTCTCGGCTGAGGCAGAAGGATTGAGTGAGCCTTGGAGACTGAACATCCCCTCTCACCTCTAGAGGTGGTCCCTCCAGGTCAGGGTTGAGGCACATGGACGGGGTGGTGTGGGGAAAGCTCGCACTGTCGCTGCCTGTGCTGTACCTGTCCTGTGGATAAATAGAGGATTTCAGTCTCCAGGGCTGTCAATCCGGCACCTTGTCACCAGCATGAAATTCACACAAAAAAAAGTTGTTTATTTTTTTTTCCTTTAAAAGGAGCTCACAACACAGATTTGAAACGAGCTGTAATCAGCAAATTTAAAAAAAAAAAAAGTTACCCAGTGGCAGATTTCACACTGCATAAATGAATAAAGGGATAAGGCAAGGGAGCTGATGATATCAGCTCTTGGTCACTGTGGGATTATTAAATTGAACCCCAACAGAGCCCATTTTGCCACAGAGAAACAAAAGACAGGCCCACCTATGGACAATGATTGTATGAACTGGTCCAAAAGGCCCTTGAAATGGCCTATGAGAGGGCAAGCTTTTAGAGGGTTGGTCAACTCAGTAACAGGGAGGGAGGACAGGGAAGCAAAGGGGTATGAAAGGGGAAGAGAATTGGCAAGGGAGAAAGGATTTCTGCCACACAGCAGGGATTCCTTATATCCAAGTGAGAATCCAGAAAAGGACAAACTCCAAAGACTAATTCTCCTAGCTACACTAACTCTGAACCTTTGCTATACTGCCCAATTATCTAAGCTGAGCCCTTTCACCAAACCAGTTTGTAGGAGCATAGTGCTAAAGCAAAGTACTAACCTGTCTCAAGACAGAGACAAGACTAACTTCTTTTGAAAGTTCCCAGGAACTTCATAACCAAGTTTCCTCAAGCCTGTTTAGTTTTATGCCAACTCAGCAGAATGTAAATGATATGTATTTCAGGTCTATGCTTCTAAATGGCTTCCAGATCAAATATAAACAGATGCTTATTAAACAAGGCCAGTCTCAAGCGGGAAAAGGCACTTTGAACAATGAAGTACTTACTCATTCAGCTACCAAAATAAACTTAAATCCAATTAAAAAAAAAAAACTGGCCTACCTATTCCTTAAACATTAGCCATCAAAGCATAAAACTATCATGGTGCTTATCAAATGTTCTTCTCACACAAAACTAACTTCAAAATAAACCATGTGTCACACAGGAATAATTTAGGCTGTTGAGGGCATAGAGGCACCAAGGGGGTACCTTATTCTTACTTTTAACACCAAAGGTCACAGCACCACAGCCAACATGTTCCCCTATTCTTGCACACTGAATTCTTACCCCAGATGATTTCAGTTATGCCATGTGGGTTCAAACCAGTGTTTGAGGTTAAGAGCCTGGGGAACAATACACTGGAGTTTGGAAGTAAAGGGACAGGAGTAGGGGAGGGGAGGTGAAGAGAAGGGGAAGTTTGTAGGACACTCAAATTCAGGAACCCCCAAATTTGATACCATCAAGAAATCTCCAGAGGTCCAACTGTTACTTTTACTCAGATTTTTAAGGATCACCCATATATATAAAAGCACAAATGTGAGTAAGGAGAAAAGTGACCCTGAGGCAATTTAACTTCTACCACAATCCACCTTATGTTACCAAATAAATTACCTCTTCTGAGTGCCTACAAAACTTCCATTGGCCTGCTAAAAATTAAGTAAGGGCTTGGCATTCCAGGCTTTCTCCAGTACAAAAAAGAAAAAAAATTAAAGCAAGTCAAACTATGGCCAGAGTACAGGTTTCAGCAAACATGCAGAATGGTTTGTGTGCTACTAGCAAAGTTGACAATTCAAAGACAATCTTCATTCAGTCTAGCCCACTAATAAGAATTTTCTTACCTGACCACCTGCAAAGATGACTGGAGAACTTGACGGCTTGGGCCGGTACGGGATGGTCACGCCCTTCGGAGGGGACTGGGAGAGAGTCAGAGGGGAAAAAAACAAAAAGAGATAAGGTTTCAAAGCTGCTTCAGCTGTGTGGCTTTAGCACACACAGGTCAGTTAAACTATTAGTGCTCTCTCAACTATCAAGTTGTCATTTGCTGGATCTAATCCCAAATATCTCCTTTTTGCTTTTGATCAGTTATGACAATCCATGGCTCACAGATTCTTGCTATAGCAAATGTCTGTCAATAGTCCTTGGGACTAGTTCATGTTTTTAAGTAACTTTAAGGAATACAAAACAGTAAAAATCCTCTATTCATACATTTTAACTTCCTAATACAACTGAACAATATATAAATCAAAACTGGAAATAAAGTACCCAAACATTATAGTTCAAGACTTGGCAGGTCAAAGACTTAGTCCTACTTTCCTACAAGACCAACTCCTTAATTCTAAAAAGCCCAATTTCCCTCAATTTTGCTATTTTTTTTTTGTTGTATAAGAGCATATTGGGGGGCTGGGAAGGTGGCTCAGTGGTAGAGCACTTGCCTTGCATGCATGAGGCCCTGGGTTCGATTCCTCAGCACCACATAAGCAAAAAGAAAAAAGCCAGAAGTGGCGCTGTGGCTCAAGTGGTAGAACTCTAGCCTTGAGCTGAAGAGCTCAGGAATAGCACCCAGGCCCAGAGTTCAGGCCCCACAACTGGACCTCCCCCCCACAAAAAAAAAGCATATTGGCAGGACTATTCTTGTCATTCAAAACATCATGATGGATACAATTTCTATTTTATACAACCACCATTTTGAGTATGTCTATGTAAAAAGAATTGTCAAAGTTGCATGTACTACAGCAACCTAAAAGGTAATTTAAAACTTAAGTCCATCTCTTGTCCACTCAGACCAAGTAGTGAATTTTCCCCCACTGATAGAATGGATCTAAACCAAAAGATCACTGCTGCTTTGAAGATTCTATTTTTACTCACAGACAGTAACAAAATAAATAAATAAAAGTTGGCAGAAGGAAAATATGAACTCAGGGAACCTTTTCCCCCACCTCCCACTACTAGGCTTCTAACAGTTTCACCTAATTCTAGTCTTACTAAAGATAGATCAATTCCTCTGTCTCAAGAATCACCCTCCCCCCACACTCAGCATGAGCCTGAGGGCTTACCTCCAACATGACCACGCAGATCTGTTTGACACACTCAATGATGGATTGCGGAATGCCAGCAATAGTGATGGCCCGCTCAGTTGAATTGGGGAGCATATCCCCAGCCACCTGGACCTGAGCCCCTGTACTCTTTGGGGTAAAAAGAAATTAAAAATCAGAAAAAACAACATGTTCTTCCAATTTCTCCCAGCAGCAATTTTAGAGTCAGAAGCTCATACATACTTGTATCATATCCCCTTTTTATACCTTCCCTTTCTTTCCTTATTCCAGCTAGTACTGCTTAATGGGAGTTAAAATTAGCTTCTGAAAGACAAGAAGTCTGGATAAGAGCCTAAATTTAACCTGCTCTCAAAAAAAAGGTTCTCTATACAGTTTCCTCAACTAATGATAGTGTTGTGGGCGAAGCAGGCCCCACAACTATGACCCACCTCTTATTCTCTTATACAGTTTATATATACATATATCATATTATCAAGCCCATTCTTTATTCCAAGGACCATTCCAAGTGCTTGTAATACATTAACAAAAATTAAGACCTCTGCTCTTGTCACTTACAACAGACTCCTCCAAAACTCATCTTGTTCGTCTCATTCCAAAACCCAATTCAGTCAACTCCAAGTACAACTAAAAGCTTCCAAAATTGGGGCTGGGAAGGTGGCTCAGTAGTAGAGCACTTGCCTTGCATGCATGAGGCCCTGGGTTCGATTCCTCAGCATCACATAAGCAGAAAAAAAAAGCCAGAAGTGGCTCTGTGGCTCAAGTGGTAGAGCACTAGCCTTGAACTGAAGAGTTGAGAGACAGCACCCAGGCCCAGAGTTCAGATTTCATGACCGGACCCAAAAAATAAATAAATCAAAAATTCAAAAAAAAAAAAAAAAAGCTTCCAAAATTAAGTAAAGCTTAAAGTATTAAAAAGAAATGAAGGGGGCTGGGAAGGTGGCTCAGTGGTAGAGCGCTTGCCTTGTATGCATGAGGCTCTGGGTTCGATTACTCAGCACCACATAAGCAGAAAAGAAAAAAACTGGAAGTGGTGCTGTGGCTCAAGTGGTAGAGCGCTAGCTGAAGAGCCGAGGGACAGCGCCCAGGCCCAGAGTTCAGGCCCCATGACCGGACCCCCCCAAAAAAAACAAAAAACAAAACAGAAGGGTGCTAGTGGATTATGCCTATAATTTTAGGCTAATCAGGAGACTAAGGTCAGACATGGAGAATCAAGGTTTGAAGTCAGACCAGGCAGAGGAGTCTCTGAGACTCTTATCTCCAATTAGCCACAAAAGCCAAAAGTAAAAGATGTGGCTTAACTGATAGAGGACTATCTTTTTTTTTTTTTTTTTTGTCGGTCGTGGGGCTTGAACTCTGGGCCTGGGCGCTGTCCCTCAGCTCTTCAGCTCAAGGCGAGCGCTCTACCACTTGAGCTCTACCACTTGAGCTACAGCGCCACTTCCGGTTTTCTGGTGGTTTACTGGAGATAGGAGTCTCACAGTCTCTCCTGCCCGGGCTGGCTTTGAACCGCGATCCTCAGATCTCAGCCTCCTGAGTAGCTAGGATTACAGGGGTGAGCCACCAGCGCCCGGCTAGAGGACTATCTATGAGTAAAGAAGTTATGGAACAGTGCTCAGGCCCTGAATTCAACAGTGCTTGCTTCGGCAGCACATATATTAAAATCGGAACAATACAGAGAAGATTAACATGGCCCTTGTGCAAAGATACACAAATTCATGAAGCATTCCATATTTTGCTGGGTTCCCTGAAAAATACTATGTGCAAATATGTCATTGAGATGAAATTATATCGACTAGACTAGCTACTTCAAAAAAAAAGAAAAAAAAAGAACATTGAAATATATATTATCCCTTCCCCCTTGCTGCTTAGAAGTTTAATATACTGGTGTTATTATAAATAATTAGGGGGAGGGAAACATACCAGAGAATACTCTCAAGGCTCAGCAATCTGCTAGGCAGACACTGTAACAACTGAGTCACGATTTTAGTGGCCACACCTACCATTTTGTAGTATTTTTCAGGTAACCCAGGCCAGCACGGACCATGATCCTACCACTGGCCTCCCAATCATTTGGAATGATTGCAGACATGCAGGATCATACCCAGCTTGTTTGTGGGATATGCAACCCTCTCCTCCAGAACTCCACCTCCCTATTATAGATATGACCTACTGTACCTGGCTTTAATCTCTTTAGATATTAAAAAGAACTATTAAGGCCTCATGGAAAAAGTTGCTAAATTATACAATGTTGCTAAAGGAAAACTATATGTAGGAATTGGAAATTCTGGGGTTGTTTTGGCTTTCTTTTGTTTTTTGATTGTGGGGCCAGGGCGCTGTTCCACAGCTCTTCAGCTCAAGGAGAGCACTTTACCACTTAAGACACAGCGCCACTTCTGGCTTTTTCTATTTATGTAGTGCTGAGGAATCGAACCCAGGGCCTCATGCATACCAAGCAAGCACTCTACCACTCAGCCACATTCCCAGCCCAGGTTAACTTTCTTATATTCTGATTTATTACTAAAACCCTTTAATTGAATCAGGCAAGATTAGCTTGCAAGGCTGAGGCAGAACTGATTTGACTCCAGGAGTTTGAGATCATCCTGAGCAATACACAATAAACTGAGAGACCTTAGATCTCTCAATGATAGAGCCATCTGCACACTAGGCTCTTGGGTTCAATATCCAACAACACAAATATTAAAACGTATTTATTATGTAAAGAAAAAAACCTATTGTGTACTTTTATTTCAGTGTGATGAAATACTAACCTTCCAAGACATACTAAGAGCCAAACAGCATTGGAACAAGTAAGCAATTCTAAAATGAGCACAAAAGTCACTAACCTCTCGTATTTCCTTGATCTTGCAACCACCTTTTCCAATGAGAGAGCCACACTGACTAGCAGGAACCACCAGCCTTAGAGTGACTGGGGGTCTACTGGCAGCTGTACTATTGGTCATAGAGCTGCTGATGTCCTACAAATAGGAAAACTGATTAAAACAAGTTTAAGCAGATTCCAGGAAACCTACTTCCATAAAAACCACTTTACTTTCTCTTTTGCTGGTCCTGGGCACTTGAGCCTCTCTGGCCACAAGGCTAGTACTTTACCACTTAAGTCATTAACACCACTTCCAGTTTTTTTCAAGTGGTTAATTTGAGATAAGAGTCTCACTGGGATTTTTCTGTCCGGGCTGGCTTTGAACTGTGATCCTCGAATCTCAGTCTCTTGAGTGGTTAGAATTACAGGTGTGAGCACCGAGGTCACTCTTAACCATTTAAGGGACATGTCATATAAACTATTACTTTTTTTTTTTTTTTTTTGGGGGGGGGGAGGGTGGTCCGGTTGTGGGGCCTGAACTCTGGGCCTGGCCTGGGCGCTGTCCCTCAGCTCTTCAGCTCAAGGCTAGCGCTCTACCACTTGAACCACAGTGCCACTTCTGGCTTTTTTGTTTTTGCTTATGTGGTGCTGAGGAATCGAACCCAGCGCCTCATGCATGCAAGGCAAGTGCTCTACCACTGAGCCACCTTCCCAGCCCATAAACTATTACTTTTAAAAACAATTTTAAGCTGGGCACTGGTGGCTCAGCCTGTGATCCTAGCTACTCAGGAGACAGATCTGATGATTACAGTTCAAAACCAGCCCAACCAGTAAAGTCTGTGAGACTCTGATCTCCAATAAGTGGCGCTGTGGCTTAAGCGGTAGAGTGCTCGCCTTGAGCTGAAGAGCTAGGGGATAGCGCCCAAGCCAAGTTCAAGCCCCATGATCGACAAAAAAATACAGGGGGGGTATGGGAAGGGGAAACAAAGGAGGAAGCAACAATGCTTGATAAGAAATGTACTCATTATCTTGCCCATGTAATTGTAACCCCTCTGTACGGTATTTTCACAATAAATAAATAAAAGTGATGTACAGAGGAGTTACAGTTATATTAAGTCAGGTAAAGAATACACACATTTCTTTTAGGACATTACCCTTTCCCATTCTCTAAAGTATATATTCAACAGTTAAATTACCATGCCCTCCACAACTTCTAAGCCTTTGGTTGAGGACATGGTTCAATTAGCAGAGTGCTTGCCTAGCAAGCACAAGGCCTAATGAGCAGAGTTCAAACCCAAAAACTACAGGAAAAAAAAAAAACAGGACTGGGAGTGTGGCTGAGTGGTAGTGCTTGCCTAATATACATGAAGCTCTGGGTTCACTTCCTTAGCACCACATAAGCAGAAAGTCACATGTGGTGCTGTGGCTCAAGTGGTAGAGCATTAGCCTTGAGCTGAAGAGCTGAGGGACAGTGCCCAGGCCTAGAGTTCAGGCTCCACGACAAACCAAAAAAACAAACGAACAAAAAAACGTATACAGGGGGGCTGGGAAGGTGACTCAGTGGTAGAGCGCTTGCCTTGCATGCCTGAGGCCCTGGGTTCGATTCCTCAGCACCACATAAGCAAAAAGAAAAAAGCCAGAAGTGGCACTGTGGCTCAAGTGGTAGAGCGCTATCCTTGAGCTGAAGAGCTGAGGGACAGTGCCCAGGCCCAGAGTTCAGGCCCCACGACCAGACCCAAAAAAAAAAAAAAATTATACAGGACAAAAAAAAAGTTCTCATTACCAATATGGCAGTACTCAGGAAAATGAGCTACTATGGGAAAGAGACACCTTGTCGCCAAAATATGAGGAACAGCCAAGCACCAGTGGCTTACACCTCCAATCCTACTCTGAGAATCTGAAGATCATGGCTGGAAAACATCCTGGGCAGGAAAGTACAGGAAAATTCTTCTACTAACCATCCAAAAGCCAGATGTGGAACTCTGACTCAAGTGGTAGAACAGTAGCCTACAGCAAAATAGCTCAGTAAGAGGACCCCAAGCCCTGCATTCCTACCTGAGGACCGGCAAAAAAATAAATTCAATAATGAAATGTTTGGCTGCACATGGTGGCTCAAGCCTGTAACCCTAGCTACTCAGGAGGCCAAGATCTGAGGATCGTGGTTAAAAGCCAGCCAGGGCAGGAAAGTCCATGAAACTCTTTATCTCTAATAAACCACCAGAAAAACGGAGTGGAGCTGTGGCTCAAACAGTAGAGCCCTCTCCCTGAGCAGAAGAGCTGAGGGACAATGCCCAAGGCTAGAGTTCAAGCCCCATGACAAAAAAAAAAAGTTGAGTGCTTGCCTGGCTAGCACATGTGAAACCTAGGGTTTAATCCTCAATAGTGAAATAAACATTAAAAGCTTTTCAACTGGGAGATACTGGCAAATGCCTGTAATCCTATCTACTCTGGAGGCTGAGACTGGAAGATTGCAGTTCAAAGCCAGCCCAGGGAAGAAAGTCCATGAGACTTTTTTTTTTTTTGGGTCAGTCATGGGGCTTGAACTCTGGGCCTGGGCACTGTCTCTGGGCTCTTCAGCTCAAGGGCAAGGGCTCTACCACTTGAGCCACAGCACCACTTCCGGTTTTCTAGTGGTTTATTGGAGATCAGAGTCTCACGGACTTTTCTGCCCCTGCTGGCTTTGAACCATAATCCTCAAGATCTCAGCCTCTTGAGTAGCTAGGGTTACAGGCATGAGCCACCAGAGCCCAGCTGTCCATGAGACTCTTATCTCTAATTAAACATCAGAAAACCAGAAATAGAGATGTGGCTCAAGTTAATAGAGCAAAAAAACTCAGGGGCAAGTCACCAGACCTTGAGTTCAAGACCTATGACTAACCAAAAACAAAAGCCAAAAACACAGTATTAAGCAGGTGGGGGGGGGAGAGACATACAGTGATAAAATCTATTTCCTTCCATTAAATGAGGTTAAATGAAGTCCACGTTCTACTCCAATACCAAAAACAAACCACAATAAGAAAAAAATGACTCAAAAGCCAGTCTGATTAATATGCTGCATCTAAGAGTCAAAGTTTTCTTTTTTTTGTCAGTCACGGGGCCTGAACTCCAGGCCTGGGTGCTCAAGGCTAGAGCTCTATAACTTGAGCCACAGCACCACTTATGGCTTTTTCTACTTATATGGTACTGAGAAATCAAACCTAGGGCCTAATGCATGCAAGACAAGCACTCTACCACTGATCCACCTTCCCAGTCCCCAAGACTCAAAGTTTTAAGTCTAATCTAAGAATAGTTTTCTTGGGCTGGGATGGTAGCTCAGGCCGAGTTCAGGCCCCATGACCAAAAAAAAAAAAAAAAAAAGAATAGCTTTCTCTAAAGCCGGGTCCTGGTGGTTCACATTTGTAATCCTAACTACTCAGGAGGCTGAGATCTGAGGATCATAATTCAAAGCCATCCTGGGTAGGAAAGTCTCCCTGAGACTCCTATCTCCAATTAACACCAGAAAACCGAAGTGGCGTCCAAGCCCAGAGTTCAAACCCTAGGACTGACCAAAAAAAAAAAAAAAAAGATTTCTAAACAAAGTATCACTTTTCAGCCTAATTTGTGTAGTAATAAGACTTATTTAAGCATAAATCTCTGAAGGACCTGTTTCTTATTTAAAGAACAAATGGTTCGTTTTTTTTAATTAAACCACAAGTTCTAAACTAACAGGTCGTATATGTTAAAAGGTAACATTCTGATCTGGGCAAGGGTAAGATTTTAGGCACCATTAAGTATGAACCACCAACCAAGAAGCACTGTTCTGCCTGTGTACAATTAAGCTGCCATTACTGATGCAGGGGGAGGAGAAATTGAACATATGACCTAGGACAATGGTTTTTCAGTTCTGAAGGTAGGTGAGAGGGAAAAAAACACTCCCT